GCTTCACTTACAAACGGGCGGCGCGGGGCAGAGCTTTCATCCCTTCTTTCCCCTCTGTGGCCTTGCAGAACCACTGACCCTGCCTTGTTATTTCTGTAAAGGCAAAACACTTCGGCAGAAAAGATCTTAGAGACAGGTTTACAGTGAGTGGGCCGGTGAGTTCCTGAGTACCACGTCTGCTTTGCCAGTTTGTAGCCCCAGTTAACGGCGTGACCTTTGATGCAGTGGCTGTCGGCCCCCAGCTCTTCACATTAGCTTGCTTTTCTCATTTGGGAAGGAGGGTCGGGCACGCAGGTTTCAAATCGGTTGCTTCTCTTGTGCTTTTCTGTAAACGCACAAGTGAAGGGTAAAGGCAGGATGGAAATTCCACTTGGAAGCAGCTCATTCATCCGAGGTTTTTCCCCTGAACTCAGTCTAACACACGTAACCTCTTTCTTAGGGAAGAAACTTTCTGCCAGACTTTTTCTTCATCTTTTTTTCATTCACACATATATGCATTAGAGGTGTTCATTTGATTTATTTTATTTTCTCCTTTATGGAATCATGGGTAGTTTCATTGCAACTCATCTCTTTCTGTTTGTTTCGTATAGGGTTGGTAGTGCAGGATCATTCAGACCCCCTGTTCAGTTCATATGCCTATAAGTCCCACTACCTACTGAATGAATCAAATCGTGCTGAGTTGATGAAATTACCTATGATTCCTCCTCCTTCGTCAGCTTCCAAAAAGAAATGTGAGAAAGGTAACCAAAATAGTTTCTTTCTCTTTAATTTGCTTTCGCTTTCTCTATTATTTCTCTCTCTTTAAATCAAACGAGAAATGTCTGCTTGTCCAGCACCACTTACTGCTTTTCAGTGAACTTCACTCATCGGTTATTGTGAGCGTGTGTTCATGTTGTTGGCAATTTTTTTTTTTATTTTTTTTTTTTGTTACAAAAGGGCTTAAAATAATTGCTGTCACTAAATTCTCCTTCAGAGAGGTTTAAATGGTTTTGTACCTGGCCTGGGCTGCTCCAGCGCGAGGGAGGCTGTGTGCGTGGGGCTGGGAAGAGGAGGCAAGCGGAGCTGGGGACTGTCGCAGTTAGTGCTTACCAGGGTGATGTAAACCAGCTTCTTAAATCGACTTTCTCTGTGGAGGAAGCGAGGGGTGCTCTGTCTCAGGTCTTCCAGGCGGCTCATGCTGAGCCTGAGGGAAGAAGGAGTTTTTCAGGCTGACCCAGGGCGGCTGCTGTGCCCGAAGGGGAGGGCGGTGAGGTTCTGCCTCCCTGCCTGTCCGCGGCCGGCCC